ATAATTAAATAACAGTAATGTACAAACAGATTAAATTTTTTTAACAATCAACCAATTTAACAAATGTAATGTAGGGAACTATGTGTTTATTAATGTTTCAATTTTATGTTCATATAAATTTGCATAACTGTTTGATCCTATATAAAAAAAAACTAAATATGATGTTATTCAAACGAAAACGGTGTTATCTAACGATCTCGACAAAATAATAATATTAAATAAGGTAAGAACAGTATTATCTCGGAATCTGCTTTTTCTGTCAAATCGGCTGCTGTTTATTTATTTTTTTACAACTACTGACAGATGTCAGATCCAGAAAATATTCAAACGAAGTGTCGTCACGTAATGGTGGGTTATGTTTTTAAGTCACATGATGAATAAACAAAAAGACTGGACCTTTAATTTTGATATGTTAAGATAATTATGCGATTTTATTACTCAAAATCAGCCTAGATATGATTTTTTTTATTTTTTATTTGTATTTTTGTTTTTTTTTTTCTTCTCTTATATATTATCATTGTGTTCATGTAGGTGTGGTCAATAAATTTTCTTTCTTTCTTTCTTTCTTTATTTCAAAGCAAATTTCAATGATTCTGCAAATTCGTGCTTTACGTTTCACTATCGAAACTACCCAATCCACTATCAAAATTACCAAGTATGCTTAAAATTGTATTATTTTGGTTGCAATACAACTATAGTCTATTGAGTATCGTTTAAAATTGTGTACTAGTCCGGAACACTGTACATTTACCTTACAGAAAAATCTTCGTTTTTCATTATCAATAATTGTATGTTGCGTACTGCAATAGTTTGCAAACCAATAAAGGATATCTAGAGGTATTTTTGTATCAAATTACCGCGAAATTTATCCAGTCGTTTTTCCATGAAAATGTCAAAAATAATATCTATACAATTATTAAATATAATAATTTATATTTTAGTATAAACACATAAATAATTTTTAATATTATATTTCTCATAATAAAAATATTGGGTAAAAAAAAATAACATGAAACTTGGTTTTGATCTGCGGCACAATGAGTACCTAGTGACCAGCACATAGGACATTGCGCCACACCAAACTTTAGTAAAGTCTGTGAAAAACCTGTACATTATTATTTAGTACATTGTTTCCATAATTTTCAAATTCATTCAATAGTAACTAATTCCCTTTTTTATATCTGTTTTATAAAGTAATACCTATTTATTGAACTATTTTATTTACACAATATGATTGATTAGGAATTATTTTTTACTAGAGTAACGGTCTACGGGATGGTTTTTGCATGAAAATGTCAAACTTTTGCAAACACATACTTTTATGGAAATATTTACCTATTGTCAAATTTTATGTTATATATTTTTACAGCAATTAAATTTATCAACTAGACTAGATAATTAAATAATACTTAATTACTGTATAAAATAATATTCAAAATTATTTTAACGAATTATTAATGATTAACATATACCTATAAAAAAATGAGAGAGGAAAATATATCGGGGAAAAGAAGATAAAAGTAAAACAAAAATGCTTCTTTGATGGGATTGGAACACGAACATGTATTTTATTGGAACTATTTCATCAATATCGGGGCTTTTGTATGAAAATGTCAGTCTGACTTTTGCCTACGTCATACTAACGAAATATTTATTTTCAAATTTTATACTGTTTAATAATAATAAAAAAGTTGCTTTTTAAAATTATGGCAGAAAAAAAATGAAAATTAGAATAAAATAATAAAAAAACGACTTGAAAAAATGCGAGCTCTAGTGGGATTAGAACTTACAACTTCGAGACACTCGGGTCCCTACCCTAGTACATTACACCAAAGATATTGTTAAAACGAGAGCGAAATTAAAATACTTATTTTAAATGTTCTTTTTTTTACAATTTTAGCGATCTCGGTACGTCAGAACGCTGCACAAAGCAACATAGGTCCATCTAGCAACACGCCTCAGCGTGAACTAAGTTAGTGTGCGTTATTCTATAGCCTTCCCTGTCAATTGCAGTAGGAGTGACAGAAATGTCAATACTTTAAAGTTGCTTGAAAAAAATGACCATATGTGCCATATCACAAAATAAATTATATTAATTATTATAATAACATTATCAAAAATTGGGAATAACCAACTTTTATATCAACCTTTGATACATATTTGTACTCAATATCATTACTCTAATGTATCACATAATTGAGAAACGTGCCTTTCGCAATATTTTTAGATGCTACTTTGGAATTATTTTCTATCGAGTGAAGTTAATACAATCATGTTTCGGTTTCAACCACAAGATCAGAAATACGATCAAGTATAACCACAAATTTTTGGATTACCATAGGTTTCCCGTGAATTAGTACAATCCTTGATCAATTTTATCGATTTGGCACTATTCAGCCTCTTAAAGGTCAACAACTCCCGACAAACGGATGACATAATAATGTTATAACTTACTACTTAAGGGTACAGTTATACAAATGTATACATTTAATGAAAAGTTTATTGGAATATGCAATTTAGAATAAAAGATGATCAGGTGTGTCATGCATGGGTACGATATGTGTGTGTGTGTGCGTGGGTGTGTGTGTGTGTGTGTGTGTGTGCGCTCGCATCTCTGTGTGTGAGTGTAATTGTAAAGTTTGTTGTTTTATTGATTTTTTGTTGAAGATTTGTGTTTTGTTGTGAAACAAAATTTTTTAAAACTAAAACTATAATATGAAGCTATAATGCAGTATTATAATAGACTCGTATAAAAATAACATTCTTCACAAATACTAAATAAAATAATTGTTTGGTAACCAGTAAAATGTTTAAATCAAAGACTAATTTATGACTTGTGTTAATAAAAGTTTGAGCAAGTTAAAGAAATATATTTGAAGCTTTGACATTTTACCTTAATTTTACCTGAATTGGTGTTTTGAATACACTGAGCCTTGTGTTATATTATGTTAACCTATTGTGTAACTACTCTTTCACATATTCTTTGTTCTGCATGTTCTTTTTTTATTTTAACTGTAGTAAATGTATAATAATTAAGTTAAGAGTAAGAATTATTTCAAAAGTATAAACGTGAAAAACGCATACAAAACAATGTATCTATTTGACAATCTTTAACATAATTAAAATAATAATTAAGACTTTATTGCTCACATATAATTATTAAAATCAAGTTAATAATATTGTTGATAATATTGTAGGTGGGCAAATGCATAAAGAGGACAAAAATATTATTTAATATAAAATCTGTTCGACTTTAACGAAACGTAGGTAATGTCAAAGATGCGACATTTTTATTTTGTTTTTTCTAAATTTTTAATTACTAAGGGAAGGATTATAAATCAAATGTTATTTGATAAAATATTAACTATTGTCATTTCGAAATTCCAATCAAAAAATTATCAAGAATGTGCCGATTATAGTTTTGATAACGTTAATTCTCTTATCTATACTATAATAAAAACGTAACAGATCGATGTCTGTACATTAAAGATACATATATGAAAAAACTGTTATGAAGGACATTTATAAGCGTAATAGAACACAAAACAATGATTTTTTTTTGTATGTTTGTCTGTGCATTTGTGCGTTTGTGCACGATAATCTTAGAAACAGCTAAACCGATTTTAATGTCTTCACTATTATATTGTGGTATTCTTCAGTTAACATTTAGCGTAAGATTTATTTCAATCGGTTCACAAATACAAAAAGTTATGTCAATTTGAAGTGACATGGTCGCCAAAATTGCTATGAAATATTAACAGTTTTATTAAATTTTCGTCTTTGATATATTAACTCTCACACAGCCAAACTGCAGGGCCTCAGGCCTTTGTTTAATATTTTTTAGTCACCCATCCCGTGAACAACTCCTGCGAAAATTGCTTAGCAATAGCGATCGTGCGCAACGGCACTTATCCATAGCGCCACCAAGCTATGACTTAATAATGTCTATAAAATTATATTTTGTATGATGACCAATAAAAAAATAAGATTTAGAAATTTTGAATACTCCAAAGTAAGTTGACCTCATTTACATATGGCCAATCATATTAAATAGGGTTCAGCTTATAATGGACGTGTGGTATAGGATTACGCGAGTAGGAGAACAAGCAGAAAGAGCCTTCCGATGATGCAATTAAGCATCGAGTATTATACAGGTTCACGTCGTCGTTGGGGCCAGCGGAGGTGGTTGGCAGCCGCCCCCGCAATGCACGGTTTCGTCTGTCTGGGAGAGGCACTCCATTTACCCGAGCCTCTCTAATTTTCCATCTGCAAGGGGATAAATGGTCCAATACTTGAGTGTCCTGGTGACTCGGCCATAGCTTGCCGGGTTTCATCTTCCACGAGAGGGTGTTGCGTACGGGTTTTGGTGGGTAGGCTAAACTAGGGTAGCTCACTGTCGGGTTCACGGAGGAGAAGCTTTTCCACGACGTTAAAAAAGTTAGATTCACGTCAACTGAAACTATCGGTCCAGTAGTTTTGGAGCAAATTCGATGCAAACAAACAAACAACCAAATCTTTCCTCTTTATAATATTAGTACAGCTTAGGTATAAGAGGTCGGATGTCGTAGTGGGTTAACGCATTCGGTTTAAATTGCAGAAGAAGGACAGTTTAAAGGTATGAATAAAATGCTCAGACACAAGCAACAACCAGAGCGTGAGAAACGAGAAAAAGAAATATAAAAATAACATTCGTAAGGCCCGTTCACAGAATGGGTGACCAAAACATTATTATCTTGAGCAATGTGCACAACACTGGCACAATGCACGTTAAACCGTTAGTGGGTTATGGCCCATTGATCTTATTCGATTCGACTCCATTCATAGGAAAAAAGAATTCTACCAAAATACTTCCAACGCAGACGAAGTCGCGGGCACAGCTAGTCGCTAATAAACACGTACAAAACATAATGCCAAAGTACATTGAATTCTAAGCCGTAGGTATAAGAGATTTTAATCAGATTATTTGATAATTTAATAGATTTGTTGATAACAATAAAGTTGTGTACTTCTTTCAGTCCATTTAGTAGTATTGGGTGTATTATTGAAAATGTTAATAAAATCAATATTAATAAATATCGTGGTAGCAATTGTGTCTACGCAGGAGCTTCGTTATGACAACTATGCATTGTATAAGGTACACCCTCGGAATGAAAGAGATATTGAATACCTCAATAAAGTTGAAAAAGAGAACCAGGGATTAGATTTCTGGAAGACTGTGAGGCGCGTTGGCGACTATGCAAGTGTTGTGGCACCTCCAGAACTGAGACACAAGTTCGAACATCTAATGTCAAAACGGAGTATTCGATCGGACTTAATGTTGACTAATATTCAAGAGTGAGTACGTTTTTAAATTCAATATCTGATTCATTGGATATTTTCCATTTTCTTATAACACACACCAGATTCTACCAAAGCAGTCTTTAGTGATTTTTTTCCTTATTTTTGTTGTAAATGCACGTCAGATCGGTCAAATTTGTCCACTTGATTTTAATTCTTAATGCTTTACAGATATAATTTAATATATACTGGGGAAATTCGACATATTCTGGTAACTTCACAAGCAGTAGTGTACATGTATATACAGCAGCAAAGCAGGCTACCACATTAGGTCACATTTCAGCCATCAACTGTTAACCGATTAAGGCTTAAATAAGTTACATATTATTGGCCTTTTGCAGTAATTTGTAGGATCTTAATAATTCAAATATATAGTTTTAATTATGCAAACAGATGACGCTGGCCACGTTCATTAACTATTGTAACAACATGCAGTGCATTTTCAAGTTATGTTATATGCAAAATTAATTGATTTCTAGTGCCCTTGAAGCCCAAACGTACAGTCGGAGAAAGCGAGATAATAACATGCTCTGGACAGTATATCAAACTATAGAAGATATATACGCATGGTTTTACGACCTGGCATCACAACATAGTTTTGTTTCTTTAATACAACTTGGAACTACTTATGAAGGTAGGTAAATGATAAGAAATAGTTTAATAACTAGTGATTGGCCCGATATAATAAGGACAGAAGTTATCTTATATTCAGTTCTGTAAATCCGCATTAGTCTAATCTGTTAAATATTCAACTTGTATATTTTCCAGGCAGAAACATTACTGGCATTAAAATATCAAGAGGTTCGAGTGGTCAAAATATTATACTAGAGGGTGGCCAGATTGGAGCTGATTGGTTATCTCCAACCGTCTTGACATACATCGTTAACCAGTTGATTGAAGGTGAAGACCCTGATGCGATAATTGCAGCACGTGATTTCGATTGGCATATTTTTCCTATCCTAAACCCAGATGGACATAAATTTTCAGACGACTCGGTACGTTTGTTTTTTTTTTAATGACTATAGTTAAATGTAAGTTAGATCGGTAACTTTTTTCGCATACTTGGGCGCTGAGTTCTGATTTCAAAGACATGTAAAATTTTAAGTAATATGTATATATTTCTTTATGAACTTAGGTACATTTTAAGAGTCAATGCATAGTCCCAATTTACCAAATTACACTCAAAACAGAAAACAATTATAAAGTATCATAAACATCTATAAACAGTTTTATCATCTATTGACGCACGTTAAATAAATTATTGTAATTATATTAAATCAATTTATTTATATAACTAGCTTTTGCCCGCGACTTCATCCGCGTGGTAAAGTTACTTTGAGCAGCATTTCTAACGAATATTTATTCGTCGTTTCTAACGAATATATATAATATTTTTTCAAGAGTCATCCCCTATTTTATTTCCTTAGGGGTGGAATTTATCAAAATCCTTTCTTAGGAGATGCCTACGTCATAGTAGCTTTATGAATGCAAAGTCTCACCCCGATCGGTTTAAAATTGACAAAGTTTCATACACACTTTCATCCCATTTTTATCCACTTGGGGGTAGAATTGATCAAAATCCTTTCTTAGCGGATGCCTACGTCATAACATCTACCTGCATGTCAAATTTCAGCACGATCCGTCCAAAGGTTTGGGCTGTGCGTTGATAGATCACTATGTCAGTCAGTCACCTTTGAGTTATATATATATATTTAGATTGAGATTGGCCATAACCGTTCGTCCAGAATATTTGAGTACGTTCTCAAAAACTTTAGTTTTTAAGTTTCTATTTAACTGACTTTTTTACCTTTATAGTTTCTCCTATAAATCGGTTCTATATAAATATTTCTTAAAATTGTGTAATTTGTCTAATAAAAACATAGGTTTATGTGTGATTAATGCTTTCAGGTTAGACTTTGGACCAAAAATAGGAGACCAACTGTGGGAACGAATTTGGGTGTTGATCTCACCAAGAATTGGAATTCTCAATGGGGAAGTAAGTATTATTAATACTCACCTACTATATGATTTTTGAACGTCAATTTTTATCTTTCTTTGGCGTGTATTTCATTTAGTCGATTGTTAAATTATTGATTTATAATTATTTCTGACTGAGAACAGATTTTTTACGACCTAATCATGTAAGGTTGAAGCAAATCTCATGGAATATTATTTAAGCATCTCACGAGAGAATACGTTAGTACACTACGGATCTTCCGGTTGTATGAAAAATAATTCATAATTTTTCAGTTATAATGTTCCACGACCAATACTTACGCGACTCATATTGAGTTAGATACAAACAGATCCTTAAAATCTACATTTCCATTTTATTAATGTTAGTAAATATCTATATTGATACATCCCCATGTCCAGAAGATGAACATGTTACTGGTTATTCTGTGATCTCCCCAATTTATTCTGCAAAAATATGGTATCAAGTTTTGTCGTTGAGGTTCCACCATTTGTTTGTTTTTTAATGTCGATAACCTATGGCTTTGTTTCGCTTTACAAAACTTGAGAGCAGTTTTACTATCTGTCCACATTATATCATTCTTTATGTTTCCAATCATTTTTTTTATTATTTCAGTCATTGGTGCTAGCTTTGATCCAGCTTCAAACAATTATGCTGGAAACGGTCCTTTCACCGAAATAGAGACTCGATCTTTGTCGCGGTATATTGAATCACTGTATCCGTCGGTAGTGGCGTACCTGTCCTTCAGGGGTTTTGGACAGAGGTTCTTGATTCCTTTCGCACATTCCACTGCGCCTATGTACAATTACGTGGATATGGTGAGAATATACTATTTATTTTATAACATCAGATAGGCTAGTAATCAGGTAAGTGCGATTCGAACTCGCAAATGGAGGCTTACTAATTAATATTAAATTTTAGGACCTATATCTAAAATTACTTGGTTTTCATAGTATTATATAGTATAATGACAAAATTATATTTGCAGTTTTTCAATATGTTCTACATATTAATCACTGGCTTTATTTAATTCAAACAATTTGTTTAGTTTTAACTCTCTTATTTCAAAATAATAATAATTAATATAATAGGTTAAGGGAAAGGGACACACGTTTTACCCCTTTAGAAGTGTTTATCATTCAAACGATTGCATTTAGGAAAAATGGTTTTAGAACTTACTTACTTATATAAAAAGTTGATGAAAAAGAAATATTTTCAGTAATATGTAAGGGGGAACTCTTATATTACGAGTATTTTTTATTGCAAAAATTATAAATTTCATACAAAACATATCTATTTACTTATTGTAATAACAATTTCGCACTCACAATGTTATACTGATGAAAATACACACGATCACGTTTTAGCGGAAAGTAACAAGCGTTTGAAGAATTTGTCAGCCCGGATAACTCAATGGGTAGAGCTATCGCTCGGATTGCAATTAGTTGTTGATTCAAGTAATATCTCGTTTTAAGCATTTTCTATTACTTTTATACATCTTTGCATCTACTCACCTGAGTAGTTCCCACAGTTTCGGAATGGCTGAGACAAAATTATACGGACAGACGAACTAAACGAGTATCAGTTTTTAAGGAAGTATATTAGGTTCTCTACTTTTTTAAATATATATAAATGATCTGCTTTCTATTACAAGTAATCACATCACTCTTTTCCGATTACAGTTCTTATTACCAACAATAATTTCCAGACATCGGAAGCAAATGTAAATGACACTTTCTAAAAAAAATATGAATTGGTTTGAGAGCGAAAATCTCAAAGTCAATATAGATAAAATTAAAATAATGAATTTCCAACAACGAAATTTGAATAGAATACAATTAAATATAAATTATTTAGGGACAACTTTAAATGAAACTAAAACAATAAAGTTCTTAGAACTATACATGACAATGACTTGAGATGGAAATCACATATAGACCATCTTTATAAAAAAGTCGCTACTCCTATGCTCTGCGCCAATAAAGTAAAATCGTTAGTTCTGGTGGTCTTCTAATTGCTTATCATGGGTATGTTTCTTTGACGATTAGATACGGAATTATGTTTTGGGGGAAAGCAACCGACTAAGAAAAAGCGTTTAAATCACAAAAACGATATATTAGGGCAATGTACAATTTGAAACAAACAGATTCATGTAAGCCATTTTTCAAAGCAAATAAGTTATTGACTCTTCCATGTATGTATATATTTGAATGCGCCATATTTACGAGAGATAACATAGAAATGTTTGAATCCTCCCCAAGGTTAAGCTACGAGGATATTTTGTAATACATCCCTATATAATATAACAACACATAAAGCCAATAGTTCAGCTACTTTAAAGTTTGAGCTTTTGAGGGGGTTTCTCATCGACAAGTTTTATTATTCTCTCAAAGATTTATTTACGGATTAAAACGCATAAAACGTAAAGTTTAAAAACCAATTGTAATGTCATATCTAATATTAATAGTTTATTTCACTATTGACTTGTATTAATATACGAGTATTGTGTGAGTAAGACATTGTTTCACTTCTGACTTATATATTTTAAATTTTCCTACTCGACAGGGTCATATGTATTCATAAACAATTATATTATTATAACCTCTATTTTACACATATATTGGTCAGTAAATGTTTGCGTATTGAATATTGAGTTTTTGCTGTTCGGTTACGGAACCCTATAGAAGGCAACCAGGTCTTTATTATATTTATGTTTAAAAAAATATCACAATATATCTAATTTCAGTTGACGCTTGGAAGGAGAGCTATGGGAGCTTTAGCAGGAAGGTATGGTACACAGTATCTAGTCGGGACCTCTGCACAGGTTCACGGTAAGATAGAAATCTTAGTACTTGATATGTTAAAGAAAGACATTGGGTTAGTTGCTAGCAAACTCAAATCTAAAGTTCGAATTTGTTAACAAGGATTTAAAAAATGATTGTAATTATGTAAACTTTTTTTGTATAAAACCGATCGTAATCTATAATCATTTAAGGCGATGTGTCAAAATTAGAATGTTTTATCAGTTCAACGGTATTGTCACAGATAAATCAGTAAACATAAACACACTGACCCTTTATATATTGATCATAATTGTGATGTGTAGTGTATACTAATCTTAAATATTTTAGTAGCTAATATAAGACAAAATGTTACTGTAATAATTAAAAATAAAGTGAACCGTAGTTAAAGTCTAATAAAAATATATTTTCAGATGGCAATACAGGAAATGTCGCTGATTGGGTGAAATACCGTTTCAACGTTACAATGGTTGCCACGTATCATCTAAGAGATACTGGTGGTTTCGGTTACATTTTGCCCGTCAATCAAATCTTACCATCTTGTGAGGAGACCTTCGATTCTCTAATGTCATTATTAAGAGAAGCTAGACACATGAATGTTATTTAAGAAATATCAATGAATATTTAAAATTATAATATCTGTTCATTTATAACATGACTTGCATTTTTTTTTAATATTTAAAAGGAGACCTAGGTTTGATCCTTGTGGCACATAAAAATATCTGAAGATCATTTATATGTCTTTTAGAAATTGGAAGATTAAACTTATAAGGAGATTTTATTGAATAAAATACATTAAGTTCATTACGTACATCTTTCAATAAAACACATTATTTTATGTACAATTGCAGGTGATCGTACCATTATAGAACATATTATATTGCAATGAATTCAGACATAAAGAAAAACATGTAGAAAAAAGAACTGATTGTTTATAACTTAGGTATAATTCATAAATGAACCATTATAGGCGTTTAATGCATACATTAAACTCAATAGTCTCGAAAATTTACGATTTATAAATAATTTAACGACACACCTATCTATAAAATGGGACCGTACCATAAAGATAAGCGTACACTCATCATAAATTTTATTGAATTTATTTTACAGGAATTATTCCGGTCACATAATATTAATTTTAGATAAGGAAACAAACGAAACATTACGGTCAACAAGATTGCTACAATAAATATTTTAATACTGACTTACACCTACTTATTGATGCACGTGGATTTAGAATCATCTACGCTTAATATTATGCAGAGGAAATATTTAAGTGCTTGCTTGTTTGCATTGAATATTGGATCCATGTTATAAATTATTTCAGCTATGGGAAGGTATCACACGCAAGTAACAAAGGTTATAATTTACATTTATAATTCTTTGTAGGGATCTGAACTCAAGTCTATTTAATATTACACGCCGTTTATCATTTATAAACTTGTTCTGTCAATATCAATTACATAAATTATGTTCATTTATTGCAAATCAAAATGATAAGGAGTTTTTTTTTTAATAAAATAATATTTACAGGGTCTCCATTTGATAATATTACGTAATCACATCACACTATTTTATAATATGTAAATGCGCATAAAAAATTAATTATATAAAAAGTATACGCAATTAAGAAACTGAACACCATTAAAAGTTGAGTGTTTGTGTTTACATTATATTGAATTCTCCATTGTGAGTGTTTACATTATATTGAATATTCTACAAATTAGCTTTTACTTACAACGGTTTTGATTTTGGCCATAGCTTCATATTTGTGTGAAAAAACTCATTTCGATCACTCAACTTCTGTTGAAACAGAAAAAAATTACACAAATAACATTACGACCTTTTGGAGTGATCATGTTTCCATCTTATCCAGTCCTGAATATTAAATATATTCGAAAAGTTATTTGAATATCAAGAAAATAAGACGAGTTGCGCGTGAGCGGTCGTAAGGTGCGCACACGACATTAGCAATATAACCGCATATGTATTATTGTTACTGTGACTGTTTCCGATCTACCCTCATTATGGAAGACGACATCTCGTCGGACGAGAACGACAAAAGTGACTCTGAAATTATAAAGGAATGTGAAATAGAGCTTAACCAAATACTAGAGAATAGAGTAAACCAAATTTCGGAAGTAGAGGAAAATCGTATAGATATGACAAGTCAGGATTCAGAGATTAGAGTGACAAAAAGGAAAGAACGTGAGGAAGAAACAAATAGTGAAGAAGGATTTATTGAAGTAAATAGAAGAAAAAAACGGCTTTTAAGAAGTAACTCTAATTCAAATCAATATCAAGAAAGAAAAACGTTGAACATAATGTCCGAAGAAGTGCCAAAGTATGAGATTTGTATTACATCCAATAAAGAGCTCCCAAAACAAATGGCTTTAGCAAAATTATTAAGAAGCGAAAATATTTGCAATATAAGTAAAATTAAATATAAATCTCCATTTAAGGTAATGATTTGCTTTGAAAGTAATGACGATGCGATGAAATTTATAGAAAATGAAAAATTTGAAGAGCTTGACTACAAATGCAGAAAAACCTTAGAAACAACAATAACATATGGTTTAATAAGAGGCGTGGACTTAGAATTTTCCGAAGAGGATATTTTGACGGTATTGAAAAGTGATGTAAAAATTTTAGCTGTAAAAAGACTCAAACGATTGGATTTTAACGGCAAATGGATGGAATGTGAAAGCGTGAGGATATGCTTTGAAGGTAAAACCTTACCCGAATACGTGTGGGCATATGAATGTAGATTCCATGTGCAAAATTACACGTTTCCTGTAACGCAATGTTCTGGATGCTGATAATTCGGCCATATTATTAAAGTATGCCCCACAAAAAAAGTTTTATGTCCAAAATGTGGAAGTACAGAACACATGAATTGCGATTTAAAGACATTCAAATTGTAGAGGACTCCACTTTGTTTTGGACAAATCTTGCCCGATGTATTGCAAAGAAAAAGAAATACGTTTTATTATGAGTAAAGAGAATATCCCGTACAAAAAGGCTCTACAAATCGTCATAGGAAAAAATCTAAATAATATTTTGGCGACAACGAGTCAACCCATTGAAACGTCTATACAAGCAAACAAGATTGATGGTCACCCAACGTATAGTCAAGTTGTTACAAATAGTATAATTGATAAAGAAGCTATCCCACAAAAAAACACTGAAGACAATGATAAGATAATTCACAGAAAGAAACAGAAAAAGAAGAAAAGAAAAGAAAATAATTATGAAGGCCAATTTAGGAGTGTAGAAGAAAATATTTAAAATGGGAGGAAACAGATGAAGAACAAAAAAGTGGAACAGATAGTGAAGCAGCTGGAAAAACAAGATTTGAGTTGAAGAAATCATTTACAAACATATTATCAATTTGGCTGTCGAAGAAGCGCTTTGAGGATAAATTAAAGGCAGTGTTAGTGGCTATTTTTGAAGAAATCAAAGTATTTATTAGCAGCTTTATATCAAGCCGAAAAATTTTTGAGACAATTATAGACTATATTAATACCAATAATGATTAATACAAACAAAAACAAGATTCGAATTAATATTATGCAATGGAATTCGCAAAGTTTAAAACCGAAGTTGATAGCTTTTCGAGAACTATTATTTACAGAGAAAATTCATGTAGCTATATTGAGTGAGACTTGGTTAGACAGTGAGGATAATATACGCATACGAGACTATAAAATTTATAGAAAAGACAGAAGCGACTCGTATGGTGGTGTAGCGATAATTGTACATAAATCAATTCGAAGTGAATTAAAAACTGTACGGTTACGCCTTCCGGATATAAAAATTATTCATGTAGCATTACATAATTGTTATCAGATACAAAATATCATATCAATATATTGTCCATCAACAGTTAGAGCACAGACATCTGATTGGGATGAACTATTTACGACTTTTCCTAATAAAACATTAATCGGGGGAGACTTTAACGGCCATGATACTAACTGGTCTTTCAGGTCAGATACAAGAGGAAAACAACTCTCATATTCATGTTTAGAGCACGGATATATCTATTTAAACGATGGATCAGACCACAGAACATAGAGAGAGATTAGAAGTATAATGATATTGATTTAGTATGGGAACCGAGTGTCGCCTCTCCGCACACAAATACAGATTCGATGAAATGATCATTATGTTCACTACATGAAAAACCGCCACGCGATACGTTCGTGATAACATAAACAAAATCCCAAAAAGATACTAAGCTAAGAAATCACACGATTAAAAATAAACTCTAATTCAACGTGATAATAAATAATTTACTTTAACATGAATGTTGAACTGTCACGTGGCTGTATACGGGGATACCAGAAGGGAAAAAATATTTTAAGATTATGCACATTTAAAAAATTGGGGACATCATTTTATGTGTGAACTATTAAGATTAGATTTTGCTGTAACCAAGTGAATATTGAAAAATAACGCTTATCCCTACATAACTTCTTTTAAAAAACGCAGTACAAAAACTAAGAAAACTTTATGATAAACTCTATCATATGTCTGTGGAGTAATATAATTAAGCGAGGGAAAGTGTAAAAAAAACAAAAATTAAGAAACCAACAGAATTTTTGTATTAATTACATTAAGCCTTATTTGTAATTTTTTCTTACTGGTATCATTCCGATTGTGCATATTAGTGATGTGACATAATATTAGTTGATGAAATAAGAGGTTCAAATTTTGTTATGAAACAGTTAAATGTGATTCAGTTCGACAATGTTCTACAGTGGTTTGATAGTAATTATTTAAAGTTTAATTCAAATAAAATGAAATACATAAAGTTTGCATTACCTAATGTGAGACATATTAATACACTTATAAATGTAAATAGTGAAAAAGTTGAGTTGGTGAAATCGATAAAGTTCCTTGGTATTACACTAGATTCCCGACTACAATGGGATCCTCATATTGATAATTTGTCAAGTAGACTGAGTTCTGCAGCATTTGCTGTTAAGAAAATTAAACTCTTGACAAATGTTGAAACGGCAGGATTGGTATATTTTAGTTATTTTCATAGTGTAATGATGTATAATCTATTGTTGTGGGGTTCTGCGGCTAGCATTCAAGATATTTTTATTCTACAAAAGAGAGCTGTCCACGCTATATATAATTTACGGTCTAGAGAATCTCTCAGAGAAATATTTAAAGAAATAAATATTTTGACTGTTGCCTCTCAATACATCAATGAAAATATTATCTACGCAAGAAAAGATTACGATTTCTTCACAATAAAAATTAGTGTTAATAATCTTAACACAAGAAATAAAAATAAACTTGCCATTTCAAGCTTCAGACTTCAGATAACCAGAGGATCATTTCTGGGTAAATGCTTTGCTATGTTCAATAAAGTTCGTAGTTGACATACCCATAAATAAATTAAAAAATTCATGTAATGAACATACTTATGAGTAAAGGCTATTATAAAGTTGATGATTATTTTAAGAATCGCAATGCATGGAATGAATAGCCATCGCTTTGTTCTATAAAGACTAATTATATGTTCAACCTATGTCCTACAGACTTTGAAAGTTGTATTTATTATTGTGATATGATATGAAATGACATGATTTATGTAAATATTATTACAAATGATAAAGGGCTGGTAAGTTTCTTTCGC